ATCTTTCGTGAACTGGGGAGCCCAGAACTGGACAGAGTACTCCAGATGAGGCCTCACCAGGGCAGTGTAGAGGGGAAGGAGAACCTCCCTCGACCTGCTGGCCACATTCCTCTTGATGCACCCCAGGACCCCATTGGCCTTTTTGGCAGCCAGGGCACACTGCTGGCTCATGGTTAACCTGTCGTCCACCAGGTCACCCAGGTCCCTCTCCGCAGAGCTGCTCTCCAAGCAGGTCCACCCCAAGCCTGTACTTATGCATGGGGTTGTTCCTCCCCAGGTGCAAGACCTTGCACTTGCCCTTGTTGAATTTCATCAGGTTCCTCTCTGCCCAACTTTCCAGCCTGTCCAGGTCTTGCTGAATGGCAGCACAGCCTTCTGGTGTATCCACTACTCCTCCCAGTTTGGTGTCATCAGCAAACTTACTGTTTTGTACAATTTGTAAGGGAATTATGGCCTGGATTTGTTTTTATTGGAGTGGTGGTGTTGCATTTCTAATAAGAAATATGTTTCTTCCCTGTAATTCTGGGGAAAATATGTCAGAAGCTTGAAAGACGAGTTGTGCTATTGTCTTATTTGTGTTTTAATATCTTGTGGGTTTTTTCCCTGTTTTAACTTCCTTAACTGATTTCAGTCTGAGCAGTGCAATGAAACTGTATCGAATTAATTTGTCCATCACAAATGATTTCTTCAGCGTTGTCAGAGACACTGAAATACTTCTTAAAATAGGTGGAATTAGTTATTCCACAGACTCATTGTCTGTTAATAGTGACTTGAAATCATTAAACCAAGCCTCAGGGAAGTGAAAACTTTCTCATTTCTTATTGGTTAATAATTTATAGGCTACAGAATAATTTTAGTTATTGATCCGTCAGTTTATTAGCTTTTGTGTCTACATTTTGCTAAGCTGATAGTACAGTTACTCAGCTGTCTGGTTCTCCCTTGTAGGAAATCTATCTGTAGTGATTTTTAAGTATAATCAATACTTCTGCCTTTTCTCAGAAACAAAAATGAAGCCCTGGAAGACAAAGCACTGTTTAAATGCAAGATTTTGACTTTGCAAATACTCCTTGTTGATGCTGTGTGTTATTGTCATTGACAGGGAGGCTCGTGAGGATAAATTACTCCCACCACATTGCAACTCCCTTGCTTCTGATTTCTGGCTGATGGTTCTGTTTCGTTCCAGGCATTCTGGATGCTGCTTCGCCTACTATGTAGAAGTTTAAAACAAACAAAAAACTATCCTGAAAACTGAAGGGCCCTGAATTTTTGTCTTTTATACTCTTGCCAGCTCAGTCCAGATTTGGCATAAGAAACTGGTATATTCCCCATCAAGGGGTGTATCTGTGGAGATCTTATGAATGTGTGCCTTTGAATTAATAATGTTATCTCAAATGAAAGTAGCAAGTTGAACCAAAATAAATCAAATTTATTCTTTGTGTGACTTAAAAATGAAGAAATATTTTGCACTTACAGCCATTTCAGAAAACAGGAATTGCTATATGCTGATCACTGGGCATCGGTGAACAAAGCTGTATGTTTTTCTTGTGTGTGCCTTTCAGTTGAGGTAGAGAAGAGTAGTGAAAGTAGTGTGTCAAGATGTGGTATGGCTAAACTCAGTGTTAACTTTTGGATACTGAAGAAAGGAGTTTCTAAATAAGGATCCAAAACCCGTTCTTTTGATCTTCTAATGAAAGTTATCTTATGATGATTCAGAATTAAAAGGTTTCTGACAGTACACATGTTCTATTGAACTAGTTTTTATTTTTCCATTAAATGCTTTCTAGTGAACATGAGCTCATTGCAAACAGGTAGTGGGGTCTTTTAACAGTATTTTCTTTCAGAAGATTTGTTTGTGGCCTTCAGTTTTGTGGGTTCCTCTCGTCAAAGTAAATGACTGTTACCAGAGTCCAAGTTTTTTATCAGTTACCTAGCTTACTCTAAAATTTTCCCAGTATTTGTGAATTTAAACTTGCAAATAACAATCTTCCAAGATATGCTTTTGAGCTAACAAGCATACTGAGCCTACTTGAAGTTTTATATGTATTTTAGTATAGAGGCAAAGCTTATAATTTTGCTTTTACATTTAATTTTCTCACTATCTCTCATCTATTATTGTAGTAGCTTGTAAAATGTTTGATAGTGCAGAATTGGAGGGTGGGTAATTTAAGCAGGCTTACCTCACTTGTCCAGAAAGACAGTCTTGTACCTACTGCGTTTATCCAGCCTGATCAAGACTCCGTACTTGCATTAAGAAACTCTGATTTAAGCTTGAGGTTTTTTTAAGATGAGTGCAATAGCCTAACTCTTACTTATTCCGTTAGGTCTGGATATGGAGGAAGGAAAAGAAGGTGGGACGTGGCTGGGGATCAGCAAGAAAGGCAAGATGGCAGCTCTGACAAACTACATGCAGCCAAAGATTGACAAAAATGCAAAAGGAAGAGGTATGAAGGAGTAGAAATAGAAAAAGAAGAAAAGTGGGCAAACAAGCCCTGGTGTCCCAGTAAAATAGCGATGATTACAGTACTAATGTTTTTAACACTACTTTATGGACAAATGAAATAGTTACCTGCTGTAAACAGAATTTGTGAACTGGTGAGCTTGAGTACCTGTGTGGGAGCTTGACTTGGATAATGATATGCGAATCAAGCAGGGAAAAGTGAAACAAGATGCAGTGCCTAGAGCCTGAAGTTACATTCAGACAAGAAATGCAGCACCAGCTGTCTTCTCTGGACAGTAATTCTAATTGTCAGAACAACTGGACAAGCATTGAGCTAGATTTAGACTATAGTAGACTTTTTTTACAGGTGTATGTTCTTGTTCAAACACCTAAGTCAGGGAAACAATGCAACTTGGATTATGCTGGAGGTTAGTCTAAAAGATTGTTGTAGTCCCTTCTCCACTACACACTGATAAATCAGAGGAGCAGAAATAATAGGGGGAAAAAACCTCTTCCAAAGAGTGCATCTGGGAGGTTTTTTTTAAAATAAAAACAGGTGTGTTGGTAACTGTCGTATGGTACTGCATTGGGAATGTGTTGCAATGGCAAAACACGTTATACAGAGAAACAAATGAACCATGTAATCTGTAATTCATTTTAGGGTCATATATAGGGGAAATGAAGCAAGACAAGAAAGAGTTTTTGGTAAGGTGCGATGAGAGGAAAGGCACATCCAGTATAGAATAGCGAATAGGATTTCTGTAGAAATTTTGAGAGCTTTTGACTGAGCTCTTCAGAGTAAAAATCAAGCTCTTAATGTGAACATGATACAGTGCTGTGAGACTTTAAAAGGCTGGTTGGTTGTTTGGTTTGGTTGGGGGGTTGAGATTTTTTTGATTTTTGGGAGGGGTTTGGTTTTTTTCCACTGTTATACCCTGTGGGTAGCAGGAATCTTATGTCTTACAGTTTGTTTTACCAAGCCTATCAGAGTAGTCGGTTCACACATACAAGTGTTCTATGTACTTCTCTTTCTTAGGTGCTCTTGTAACAAACTTCTTGACTGCAGATCTGGACAGCTACTCTTACTTGAAGAAAGTTTCAGTAGAAGGGCATCTTTACAATGGATTTAATTTATTAGCAGCTGACTTGAAGTAAGTCTACAAAACATCACAGTTCAACTGTCAAAGGGAGAAGGATAGTAGCAGTGATGTATGTGTACTTCTTAGCACGGAGGTGTAGCAGTACAGAAGCCTGTTGCCAACTAAAGCTAGAGCTCTTTTTGGCTAATTGGCATGTAAGGTCCTAATGTTACTGTAGTCATAATTTCCTTTGTTATTTTCTCATCTTTCAGAGACTGGAGGGCTAGCTTGTATTCTAATTGTTGCTTCCTGCAAAACTTCTTGTGACTCTCTCCCTATTAGGCCGTAGTTGGTCGTTACCCTGAAGGCTATATGGCTTGTGTTTCGGAGAAAACAAAACCTTGGCTCCATAATTTCTCAGAAACTTTTTTCTCTGAGAGGTGACATGCTGTGGCAGAATTGGAAGAACTGAAAGCTTTCAAGCTGTTATTCCTGTCAGAGTGACTGTATCATTAATCCTTGCTGAAACATTAAAAAAAAATCAGCAAGTAACAAATATCTTCAAGTTTCTGTAGCTGAAGAAAAGGCCTTGGATACTTGCTCAATATGGTTGGCACAGTCTGTTCCACTACACATGCCTGCGTGTGCACACACGTATATATGCTGGTATTTCCCTTTGCATTATGCCTGATTCAGAATGTAAATCCAGGGCTAATTCATCTCCAGGCTGTGTATCAGTTCTCAGTTAGATGCATACTTCATGACCATAAGCAGGTATAAATTGCCAAGAGCACACTCCTGCTTTGGCACGCTTTCTGTAGAAGCATTCATCTTATTAGGCCCTGCACCATCAGGTTTTCTTCTTCCCCTCAGCTTTTCTGCATGCTTCTGGGAAACCACATATATTTAAAGCAGAAGGTGATAGTGTTTACTGTTTTCAGTGAAAATAATTTCTAGCGCCCCATTACTAACTGGCCTTGTTTTTACATTTTTCACTTCCTGTATTAGACCACTTTCAGCTATTGGTTCAGACTTACCAGTCATTTCTTCCCTACTCTCCCACTTTCCTACAAGTGTTTGGTCTGTTTTTTTAAGAAAAGCATTTCTTTTAAATTCTGCCAGGCTATTAGTTTTAATTTTTTGATTTGCTATGGTATGGTGGGAAAGTGAAATGAAACTCATAGTGACGGAGCCGTACACAACATATGGAAGACTGATCAAGAATAAGCACAGGAACCCAGAGATCTGAGCAGGCCACATGGGGAATAGTTACTGTGTGCATGAGTGGGTGAAAAAGTCAGGCTGGAAAACTGCCTGGAGCACCTGGATGTTTGGTTGTGACTGATGTTTGGTTGTGACTGAAGACAGTCACGAGGGATGATTATATGAGAAAGCTGACTCTCTCTGATTAGGCAGTGTGAGAAAGGATGGAATCATCCTGTTTGACCTCATAGCTCAGACTCATATCTGTGGATATAAATTACTTTCTTGACTGTTTTGCAAGGTCACTCGCTTGTTCGTTCGTTAACTCGCTTGCTTGCTTGGCTTCGGAATAAAAGAGAATTGCCTTGAGAAGAGAGAAAGTCCAACTGATTTCTTCACTGCATTTGGTGATTTCAGTTGCTGCATTGGGCTGATTTCTTTGCTGCAATATAGGTAGGTGATTGAAGTTTGAAAGGATGAATACAGAAAGGCAGATGCGTGCCACCTGTGAATATACCAGGAGCGTATTTCTGCTTTGGTGTGCCTGCCTAGAAATAACCAGATAGGTTACGTGTCCAGAAGTTTAATCCAGAAGCAGGTTAGGTAATTATAGGGTTTGCTGCTTTTCTGTTATTTTTACTCTCTACTTTACAAAATTCATTATCCCACTAGAGACTTCCCAAAATTTTTCTGTTGCTTAAATTAATTTTTACCGTGGTCAGAGAATTTGGCTTTTTGTGCTCTCTGCTGCATGTTGCTGCCTGGCTAGCTTTCATAAATTGGAATATTATCTGTAACTGGAAAGATAACAGAAGCAATAGTCTTGCTATGTTTGTAAGCAAACATGATATTCAAGGAATGATCTAGCAAGCAGTAAGTATGTTTGAGCTTTTTTTCTAGTTTAGGTAAATAAAATAGTCATGATAATAATAATAATAATAGTAAATAAAATAGTCATAAAGGCTGATAGTATAATGATATTGTAGTAGATTCGATTGACATTATTTAAGGCATTGATAATTGACATTATTCATGTGTTGTTTTTGTTTGCTTATTCCTCCGTGCTAGGCTGATGGGGAATTGTATGCTCAATTGAATGGTCTTTCTGTGGTGATGCAGGTCATAATGCCTTGCTCAGTATCACTCTGAAAGCTGTATGTGTTGATTAACTTCTCCATTTTGACATGTCCTTAGCTTCGGATACTCTGATGAAATGAAATTCTTGGCAAGCTAATGATGCAGAGCAATTTCTATAAGATACGTAAACTTGTCATTTTAGGAAATTAGAAGTACTCCCGAGACAAATGTAGTATATAAATGGAAGCTACTTTTCTATGTAAATAGAAAATGTTATTGTAGTTGATGCTATTTTGTTAGGCCATGTTACTGTTCAAAGAAAAGATTGAAGACTGTTCCTAACAAGTTCTTCTGTTGTGTAACAAATGGAGATTGGCTCTGTTAGTGGTGTGAAATGGAGAGGAAACTGAAATTGAAAGTGTACATGAAGCACTGTTGGGGAGGGGTCTATCTGAGCACCTGATAATCCTGACTGTAGGCAGCACATTTAGAGAGATTTACAGTATTGGAGTTTTCAGGTACACATTTCAGGAAAAGAAATTTTTATCTTCTTTCTGTATTATAAAGATGACGGTATGATGGATGGTACAGGTGCAGTGATTGGAGGAGGAGAGCTGAAAACCATCGTACGGGTTGTAAAATCTCATTGTTTATTTCCGCAGCTTTGTGTGACTCTTAGTTTAAAAATGCATGGGTTTTGACACTTTTAGTGTGATCTGTTTGCTCTGTGGCATCTCATGATGTCAACTTAAACTCTATTAATTTCTTTTTTTAATAAGAATGCTGTGTTGGATAAAATACTTAGTACTTTTAGTTTTCTAATCCATTCAGTTTATCATCTTGCTGTACCTGCTGAATGTGAGAGTCATTAGTACTCATTCCATTATGCTAAATGTACTTTTTGGTTGAATGTATGGCACATGGCAAACAGTGTCTATTTGGAGTCTTGCGTGCCTGCAAAATTAGCTTCTAAGAAGGCAGTGTTGCTGCTTCTCCAGTTTTGACTAGTGGTAGGTCTGATGAGAGAGGAAGAAGGTTATTGGAAGCTGGACTGGTCTCTAAGAAAATGTCTGCTTAATAGTCAGAGCAGTTTTCCTTCTTTCTTTCTTCGTGGTAATATCTGAAGTGATCGTGAGCTGCTTTGGTTGATGGTTGGGATAACAGTTCCGCCTTGGGGAATCTTGTGTTTATGTCCAACAAATCTAGTTGCTACAGTTGCTCAGACTTTCATGGGTATCTCAAACTTGTGTTAGGGCTGTTGTGGCAGCATCTCACTTGGGTTCCATACTGCCAAGTGTGAAATACAGACTGCCCTGAAGGACAACTGAAGTGGCAGCTTTTTGTCACTCTCCCAGCAAGTTTAGAGTCTCTGACAGGTTGTCAGTTAGAGCCCATATTGTTTATGTGCAATAAGATCCTTTTTTAAGAAGAGTGAATCACTTTCTCGAGGAGGAATAGATGAATTGTCCCTTACAAAGCAAGTCAGCTGGAGGGAGCTGCAGAAAAAGGCCTTTCATGTAAGCTTTTCTGCTATTCCCTGTGACAGACAGTTTTCATCTCCTCCAGGAGAAATGTAGTAAACTATACCATCACCCGCACTGACTAATTTGGGAATGTATTGAAGACAGATTATGTACTAGAATGTATTCTTCATGTTCTGATCTTGAGAGTACAGTTTGGTTCGTAGCTTTTATCCTTGATGTGATGATGGATAGAACTGAGTTCCAGTTGAAACCACAGATCCCCAAAACAATGGGGTTGGAGTATGTGTTTGTGGGAGGGAACAGATATACAAATATATCATAAATATATATATTATAAACACTTTTTAACATGTAAATTATATACAAATAGAGAGACACCATATATATTTTTCTTTTTTAATATCAAAATGTACAGTTAATTACGTAGCAACATCATTGAGGTAAAAAGTAAACTGAAGAAAAGGAAAAAAAACACTTCTCCCAGAGTGAACTGTTGGTAGTGGAGGGCCTCGTAAGATTCTAAAAGCTCGTCGCACTGTTCAGGTGTTTTAAACATGGGCTGTCGTATTCAATATGGTTATTGGGACAAGGCCACGTGGGAGGGATTTGATTGCTCCCCAGAGATTAGACTGAGGAGCCTTTCCAGTGAGAAGTGAGATAGGGTCAGACTGCTGGTGTGGAAACCATGTGGGATGGACAAGTCCTCATGATGCTCTGTAAGCTCTTACATTTTTCTCTCATGCATTGTCTGTCCTAATACCACCTTCTGGAGAGTACATCTGTCTTGCTCCTTGTGACTTCCTCATGAAAATGAGGTGTCCAGGCACTTCTCTAACGTGTTCTGTACTACCACCTTTGAAATCTTCCTGTGTATATCCCCAGTCATTTGCAAGTCCAATGAGGTGGACAGTGCAATGTCAGGAGCAGGAAAAAAGCTTCTGAAAACTTCATTTCATCTTTCCTCTGGTATCAGCTTCTGCCTGGCTCAGAAAATTAGGACAACACCAAAGAAATGTTTAGATGCTGACAACAAAATTAGAGTAGTGCGTTAAAGCAGACTTCGTATGCTGTGAGTATCCGGCAGTATTCATTTCATCATTTTATTTGATAGTAGGTGGTATATATACAGAAACATTTAGGCTCTGTAGTTGGTGTTTTGGTGTTTGCTGGTTTGTTTTTAGCTTCAGAACAGAAAGAGTACTCTAGCTCATGAACATTGAAGAAAATAAAATTAATCTGTGAACCATGCTGCTCAGTTGAAAATACTGTTCAGCTTTTTAAGCTGCCAATTTCATCTTTTCTCCTTGC